GAGATTCACTGCCTGCACCAACAGCTCCCGCTGACTCCCACCTGGATGCCTATATATTAGAGAACAGAAAAGAGCCACACGGCAGGAAACAAATTGTGGAATTTTAGAATTCTTCCAAAAGGAAGTGCTCTTGAATAAATGTACCCGAGAAGAATCTATGAGAAGCCAGGAATGAAGAATTCAAGAATTCAAGAATTCAAGACACTTTGAGGTCATCCCTGATGTAAGACTTACTGGAAACTTAACTCCAGGAAAAGGGACAACAGTGCCACCTCACAGAGACGCCATGGAAAGGCCCTGCAGCTAGCACAGGAAGTGCTCAGCATGGTGCCCAGGACAGAGTAAATATCCCCTGAGCACTCCATGCTATGACAATTATAATAATGTTGCTGTTCTGAATAGGCCCTTCTGCCACCTCTAAAATTTGTACACATTTCTGTTGCTTGTTTGCGCATCTTGGTTACCCTATACTTCAAAACCCCTGAGGTGATGGGCCATGACTTACCCGGAGTACAGCGCTTGGCACATGGTAGAAATACGTAAATGCTGGTGCTCTGAAATAACCTTAACCTATCTTTGCAACTCACATTTGAAATCAAATGCTGATTAACAATAATAAGCCAGGCACGATGCTAGCTACTTTTCCACATAATCTCATTTAATTAACAAGTATTAACCCACTTTACAAGCAAACAGGTTCAGTAGCCTACCTTTTGCTCCATAATTCGAAGCCCTCAATAACTAATAACTCCCTCACTTCTCCATCCCCCAGTGAGGTGACACTATTTGCTTTCTCTGGACTCAGCCACAAAACAGCACAAGCAAAAAAAAATCACAAAACCATGGATGGCGACATGGCCCACAGGAAACTCATCCCTCTAACTGCAACCCCACTCCCCCACCATTCTTCCTGCCCCACAGGTTCAACGCTTCTGAATTCTCTTGCCCAGCTACACTTTCCGACCTATCTTCACTCATCAGATACAATCAAATTCTCTTTTGTCACTTCTCCCGCATCTCTGTGTTCCTTTTCATTCAGAAGTTCAACTCCTGGTACATTAGTCACCAGCCTAACTGGTCTTTCTGCACTGGTCTCTCTACTCTGATTCTATACTGAAGCCTATCATGAGACCAGACTTCCCAAAGACTAAAAGTCCTCCTAAAGGATATTTTGAGTCATGTCATTTTCAAACTCCTTCACAAGGTCATCAGATAAGGACAGCAGTGGCACATAAGGCTCTCTGGGAGCTGGTCCAAAACCATTTACTTCTTGATGCTCCCACATACAAGCTCTATGCCTTGGCCCACAAAGCCAATGGCCAGTTGGCTCCCTACTCACACTATTGACCAGCATCTGGCCAGCCTACTCACAAATACCCTCTTCTTCCTCTCTGCCTGGTGCAATCCTACCCACGCTTCAAGGTTTTCAGACCAGACTTCTCCTGAATCTAAATACCCTGTGCACCCGTCCACACCCTTGCTGGACTCTGCGCATACATGGGACCTCCCATTTCTGAGTAAATTTTACGAACTTGAAGGCAAATACTACCTTAGAGTGACTACCTTAGAGTGTGGTTATATAATAACCACAGTATTTTGATGGTCATAAGTGGGCTTAAGTATTTCTTTTAGATTATTATGAATGCTAAACAAGGATTCTTCTTTGAGGCCTTACCACTCTCTTAGCCAGTGTTCTTTGGGGACCTCACCACTGAACCCAGAGTGCTCACACACATCTGGCATTTTATAACACAGGTGGCACGTGCACACAAGGGCGCGCGTGCATGCACACACACAGAATCTGTCTTCAGTATTTCAAACTACAAGTCTGGATCTGATCGATTCAGGGGGGACCACTGGATATCATTGTTTAGGTTCATGATGAGGAGTGTTTGACAATTTGTGACTGCTAGAGATAGCAGCACTGTCAAAAGACCCAAAAGGGCTTTCCAGAGAAAAAGGATTTGGGTTAAACAAAGAGCTAAATTTAGTTGCTTCCTGAATGTGTTTTCCCAATCAATCAACAGGCCTCTTACCCCCACCCCGCCACCCATCCAAACACACACACAGTTGGCAAAGAGTTCTGCCAAGAGGAATATGAGCAATTAGAGAATAATGGCTCAGAAACTGTTGACACCACTTAGCATGATGTCAATGCGTGGGACACCAGCAGCAAGCTGTTCAATTCCTAACCCCACCCCGTTACCAAATGGGTAGTAAACAAGCTCTTTTGCTACTTTGGGGATTAGTAGAAAATAAGGTATCTGGGGTTCTGGGACATGAATACCATGAGCCCACACTGGGGATTGATCCAAGTCACTCGCCACAACTGCTGATCTGGGTTGGTCCATTTCTTGTCTCTAAAGAGACAAGACTACGTCTATTTTGCCTTTCCTTGCCCTTCACTTCTTATGCTGTAAGTGTACAAAGCATATACTCTAAGTATCCTCTCTAACTTATGCACATTCAGAAAAGTAAAGGAAATATGACAGATAAGATCTGTAAGAGCCTTTACGTCTCTGGGCCTCAACACCCTCACCATAAAATGAGAACATTTTATTAGGTGATCAAGTAACCTAACGATACTATTTTATAGTTGTTTCCTCACATATTCCAGATAGTTTGCCTTATTCTGATCTTAACATTTGGATATTAGATCCAACTGGAAAAGTGTCCCTAGATCAATGCTATCTGAATACCACAAAGTAAAGACCTGCTTTGAGTCCTGTGTCTTAGGTAAAAATCACCGATAGGAGGAACTGCTCCCCCAGAGAACTACCTACTTGCTCGATTTCCATCTTAGATCCTGCTTAGCTAAAGGGATTCATTTTCACTCCCCAGCACTGAGAACAAAGAGAAAAAACAGAAAGGATAAGGCTGCAGGGCCTTCCCCTCGGTCACGTACCAGCACAGCACAACCGGTCGCTCGCTACCACGTGCAGCGCGCCTGGGTTCCAGGCCAAGGACAAACAACATGGTTTGCAGGACATTGTTGATGACAGTTCATATGGAGGAGGGAAATTATTATTTCTATCATTAAATTAAAGATCAGTTGGGGAGATGGAATATATAGTAGGAAAAAAATTCCACCTGTCTACTTGAGTAACATTTCCTCACTCTCTTTTATTTATTTTTTTTTAAAGATTTATTTATTTATTTATTTATTCATTCATTCATTCATTCATACAAACACTGGGTACAGGCAGAAGCGCAGGAGGGTGAGAGAATTCACCAGAGTCAGAGCAGGATGCAGAACAGGCAGAAGGACCGAAGTACACTGCTGAGGGGAGCAGCGGGCGGCAGGAGAGGTCTGCGCGCCATTGTAATGTAATGATGTTCAACCAAACCAATATTATCTGAGGGCCTGCTGTACAACAGAGCCTGCTGCTGTCTACAAAAAAACAGGCCATATCCATTTTTTCTACTACATGCAATTAAGTTCTCTTCATAATTCTCCTTATAACTACCAGTGTTCAAGATTTATAGTCCCTATATTAAAAATTTCAAACTAAATGAATATTATACTCAGTTAATATTCTCATATGCTCTGTTATGATCCCCCCCCCACCCTTAGCTCCTAAGAACATTCAAAAGCAATTGTCTTCAAATAGGATCTCAAGAAGCTGAATCACCCATGTGCCTGGGGGAGGGACAGGACAAGGATGACACGGAGCACCTCTTCCACATTTATCTGCCTCAAACACCTAATGCTGAAGAAGAGGTTATAATGCTTAAAGAAAAACAAACCTAAAAACCACCAAGTTTCCTGGGTAAAGGAAATCCATCCAATCTTCTGTTTACAGTTGTTTAGAACTGTGGGGGTACCCAAACCAGACAACATATCCCAATTCTTCCAGGTTTCCTTACAACCAGAAGGATAATGCTACTTAGGGTATTTTCTCTTAAATTCCCTCTTCCACCCTACCCCCTCCCCACCCCAATGTGAGCTTATTTTTATGGTTGGAATGGCTGTAGTTGCACCGCTCTTTGGGTTTTTATTTTTTCCAATTTAACAATATTCTATAAACTTTCCCCCTTATCATTAAAAATTCTTTGCAAATAATTCTAACGACTGCATAAAATCCACTAGGACGGATATACTGTAGTTTCTCCCTTGTCATCCACCCATTGATTCAGTCACTGAAAACAAAGTCACTGAGGTAACAGTGATTCAGTCAATGGCCTGCAGGAGTACCAAGGCATGATTTTGTTACGTGAGAATTATGACTAGTCAATCCTCATGACCAGGGCCAGTAAGAGATGAGGACAGTGTAATAAGCAAATGTAATTTATTTAAACCCTAATTTTAGCCAGTTGTCTCAACCACCCGTTTTTTTTAAAGATTCATTTTTATTTATTTATGCATACAAGAACTGGCGTGCAAGCCAGAGGTATGGGGAGTGAGAGGATTCACCAGAGACATAGTGGGGAGCAGAACAGGCAGACTGACTGAAATACACTGCTGGGGCGGGCAGCGGGCGAGACAGGAGAGGTCTGCTGCGCCATGTGGGTCGAACTCATGCCACAGTGGCTGGTGATAGCTTGACAGCGCTGAGATTTTAACCCCTCTACCACCAGGGAGACCGTAACCAGTTGTTTTTAACCCCAGCAAACAATTTGTAAAACAGAGTTAAACTCCCAATAAAATGTACAGGCAGTAATAGGGAAGTCTAAGTGAAAACAGATCTGATTATGTGAATCTAGGTAGCAGGCCTCCATGCCTTTAACTGCTAATCATAACATACCTAAGAGCAAACAGACCAAAACCTGCCAGACGCAGGCTATCAATGGACACGGAGAGAAAGCAGCCCTTCCACGGTGGCAGGCGGGATGCTATGATGACATGACAACGATCCCCATGAGAATACAACAACAGGTCAGCTGCCAAGTCACTTCAGTCCATGTCTACTGTAAGACTAGACTCAGAATCTGGGTCATTCTGTTTCAAACCCAACAGAAAGAACACTCTGCGGGCTGTGGGACCTGGTGCAGCAACTCACCTGTGCAGAACTCTTTGCTCATACTCTGGGGCACCGTGATCCGCCGGTAGACGATGGGTTCTGACTCCAGGATGTTCTCATCGTGGCGATACCGCGCAGGCCTTTCATTCGGGATGCCCCTGGAGCGGGCACCGCTTCTCCTCTCGTACGTATCAATCTCCTCAAACACAGCAGCCTTGTCAAAAAGAGCCAAGTTCCCTTCAAAATCAAAATCCGTGTCTGGGATCTCCTCAATATCATCCCCAAAGCACTCGTCATCTTTATTCTTCATCTGGCCATTCTTTAAGCCACTTTTCTTTGGAGTTGCCTGGTTTGGGTGTCTGCTACTAGATGACCCTGGAGGGAAAAATCAGAGACGAAAGTCAGTATGCCTGCAGAAAGTGCTCAGTGGGAGCGGCAAACACAGTTCACGAGTCCTTTATGAAGAGTGTTACAGCGATCAATGTGAAATGATAAAGGTAAGGTATTTCTAAATCATTAAGTAACACAAAATATCACAAATCTCATGGAAGACTGATAAAAAATTTCATACGTTACTCAAGGAACGTGGAATGAGCAGTACTCCTGGAAATCTTAACCAATTTTGTCCTTCCTTAGGAAATCAGTAATAACAGAGACTTTTCTTAACAACTGAGTATCAAAAAAGTGGAAGGACAATATAATAGTCTCTTCCCACAGATCAAAGTAATTCAATCCTGACCGTCTAGCAGTTATTCAAAAGAAAAAGACCCCAGAATAAAAAAAGGTCAAGTCTTTATAACCTGAGTTCACAAAAGATATTTTCCAAGTGCCTCTTAATTCTACGCTTACCAAGCAAGTAACATTCTGATCACTTATTTGATTCTCAGGCTAGATACCAGCCAAAGAGAATCTTTGGGTTTAGACAAATACCACTACAAGTTGGTATTTTGACTTATAAACTTGCTTTTAGCGATCTCCTGTCTCAGAATTTTATCACTTTTGGGTATGCAATTTCTAAACCATCAAATAATGACAGGCTCACATTGATCCTGTGGACACCACACTAAAACACAAATCGATAAACAGTCAGCCGCTCTACCTCTGAATCTCTAATGTGGCCACACATCCTATCAATACTAGCAGCCAGTCTTCCTGAAGCTATAGGCAGCCACTGCAGCATGAGTTTGATCCCTGGCCAGGGAGCTGACACACATGGCGCAGCAGACCTCTCCTGTCTCGCCCGCTGCTCCCCTCAGCAATGCATTTCAGTAGATCCACCTGTTCTGCTCCCCACACAGTCTCTGGTATATCCTCTCACCCCCCACACCTCTGACATACACCCCAGCTCTTGTATGCATAAATAAAATAAATCTTAAAAAGAAAAAACACAAATACTAGCAGCCAACGAAGAAGATCCCACAGAATTCTCCAAATCATCTATTCCCAAAGAATCCTTGAATTTATATTCAATACACTTATACTGATTCCCCATCTGACCATCCTGGAATGATGAACTAAGTGACCAGTAATTGCAATGTACTTTCCTTTGAGATACTGAGCTTCTTAGTTATTGAAAATACTCAAGTAGAGGTGAAAATGATCGCTAGCAAACTCTTTCATCCATATCATCCCAACCATACTGCTCAAATTCTTTTCACAGCAACCTCCTTCTACCCAATGGGCCATGCAGGAGCCAGGTAATTTAGGATCTAGTTGTCATTTTGTCAATGACATTTATACCTGTCACTCAATGTTTCAACATCCTGTATATAAAATACTCACTTGTGGTATCCCCAGCAGGCAATCTATAAATATCTGTTTAACGGTCCTCCCTGGTAGCACAGCGGTTGAGCGCTGGGTTGCGAAGCTGCCCGCAGCCTCTGCAGCGCCGGTTCGATCCCTGGCTGCTCTCCGGCCACTGGAAGAGGGTCCCACATGGCGCACAGACCTCTCCTGCCGCCCGCTGCTCCCCTCAGCAGTGTACTTTGGTCCTTCTGCCTGTTCTGCTCCCCGCTCTGGCTCTGGTGAATTCCCTCACCCTCCCGCGCTTCTGACTGTACTCAGTGCTTGTATAAATAAATAAATAAATCTTAAAAAAAAAAATCTGTTTAACACATTAGCAAATTAATTGACATCAGAAAGATGAATTGCAGTAATTATTCTGCAAGATGTATACTATAAAAAAAAATCTCATGTTCAAGTCTTCCTAATGCCAAATATTGGCATGGAAAAGGGCTGTACTGGCAGCAAAGATGAAATTTAGGCCTCTGAAAAAAAATAGCAAGGTTGACCAAAAGAGCTTGCTAATATACCATAAACAGCCTGGATTATGGGGGCCTCCCTACTGGCGCAGGGGTTAAGACGCAGCACTATGAAGTTACCTGAAGCCACTGCAGCACGAGTTTGATCTTCAGCCAGGGAGGTGACCCACATGGTGCAGCAGACCTCTCCTGACTCGCCCGCTGCTCCCCTCAGCAGTGTATTTCTGTTGACCTTCCTATTCTGTTCCCCACTCTGTCTCTGGTGAATCCTTTCCCCACCCCCCACTTTTGGCCGTACCCCAGTTCTTGTATGTATAAAAGAAATAAATCTCGGGCCTCCCCGGTGGCGCAGCGGTTGCGCGCTGGGTTGCGAAGCTGCCCGCAGCCTCTGCAGCGCCGGTTCGATCCCCGGCTGCTCCCCGGCCACGGGAGGAGGGTCCCACATGGTGCGCAGACCTCTCCTGCCGCCCGCTGCTCCCCTCAGCAGTGTACTTCGGTCCTTCTGCCTGCTCTGCTCCCCGCTCTGGCTCTGGTGAGTTCTCTCACCCTCCCACGCTTCTGACTGTACCCAGTGCTTGTATAAATAAATAATATAAATCTTTTAAAAAAAAAAAAAAAAGAACCATTGCTCTTAATAAAGTCTTTATAACAAAAAAAAAAAAGAAATCTCAAAAAAAAAAAAAACAAACAGCCCGGATTATGAATTGTTAAGAAGCTCAGCAAAGGCTGGATTAAGTTCAAGTTCTAATAATTTGGTGAAAACATACCCTATACCAGTTAGGTGCTAGAGTATAGTATATAAGCAAGACATTGTGCTCCAAGAGGGAAGAGAGATATGTAAGCAAATAACTAAAATACAATGAGTTAAGAATAATAACAGAAGTTTATATAAAATCCTATAGAAATATGGATGAGAAAGTAGAGCGAGATTGAGAATGGGAGAGCAGGCATAAAAACACGAGGTCAGGTAATACCATTAACAACACATGTAGGTAGGGTAGGGGGCGAACTAGAGAAAAAGTTCAATTTGCAGGATTATTCATGTACTGCCTCAGTATTAAATCAAACCTTCCTATTAGGAAACAGGTCTCTAGCCCTATGGTTGCCTCTGGGGGGTATGTGCACCCCCCAGGAGGATACAGCGTGCTTTACTGGGACATAGGGAAAAAACAATGAATAATCTATTTACTTTACCTTTTAACTAAAAATGGTAAGAAATTAAATTTCATAAATTTAACATATGAATGGAAAGTAGGATTTTCATGAGGCGTCATGCCAGCTAACTACTGCCAATATTTAGGCTATCTGAGAAAGAGCAAGGTTCCATAGTAAGCATGTCCATGCAAATTGATATTTTAAAATTGTGGTAAAATAAACATAACACAAATTTACCATTTTTAAATGCACAGTGGCATTAAATATAGCCACAATGTTGTGCAACTATGTCAATTTTTAATCATAGCATACAAAAACAACTAAGTGGTTCAAAAAGATTCTTGTAAAAAAACTAAATTAAGACTAAGATAAGACTAATGATACATTCACAAGTGAACATGAGAACAGCAGAGCTAACATTTCCACTACTCCTCTTAAAGGCCATCTTTAGACAGAAAGAAGCTTTTAAAATTAATCAGATCTGGGGCCTCCCGGTGGCGCAGCGGTTGAGCGCTGGGTTGCGAAGCTGCCCGCAGCCTCTGCAGCGCCGGTTCGATCCCTGGCTGCTCCCCGGCCACCGGAGGAGGGTCCTGCATGGCGCGCAGACCTCTCCTGCCGCCCGCTGCTCCCCTCAGCAGTGTACTTCGGTCCTTCTGCCTGCTCTGCTCCCCGCTCTGGTTCTGGTGAATTCTCTTACCCTCCTGCGCTTCTGACTGTACCCAGTGCTTGTATAAATAAATAAATAAATAAATCTTTAAAAAAAAAAAATTAATCATCTAAGAAAATGGCTTCCCAAATTTAAAAAATATCATTTTTTTCCACACATGAATCCATATGGAATATCAATGATTCATTTCACCCAAAATGTATAAGCATAATTCTGTAAACTTCAGCCTTGGGCCCAAATCCAGTCCAGTGGCTGTTTCTGTAAATAAAGTTGCACTGGAACACAATCATACTTGTTTACATAGGCCAAAGCTGGTTTTGGGCTCCAAAGACAAAGTTAAATATTTTGAGACAGAGACCTTTCAGTCTACAAAGCCTAAATTTAAAGATTAACTGAATGTGGAGCAGGTTCTTTGGATCTGTTTCATTCAAGTTGTTAAATATGTCACTTACTAAGCTACTGTCTTTCAATTCCACCCTCACCCTTTATGATATGGGGCTGGAACTCTACAAACTACATTTTTCCTTCCTTAGCTGGCTTCCTGTTAGGTCCCCATGCCAGCAGTGAGTGTCTGAAGAGACTGGAAGGAAGAAGGAAGTGGGAGGAAGAAGGGACTTGCGCCTTGTTTATTTGCCCTGGCAGTTGGTTCCAGTCTCCAGCTGTTCTTTTTGGCCTGAAGAGCCAACTCCACTGCACTCCCTAGAAGTTCGCTAAGCCCCTCTTCTGAACTCTTAAGGTTCTGATAACCTACCCACTTCCCTTCGTTTCCCCTTCCTTGATATCTCTTCCTGATCTTTTTTGGTCTTCCAATGCCTATAAAACCAATTCCTTACGTTAAAATTTCTCTAAAACTACTTTTCCTTAGTGGTATACCAAGATTTAAAAAATTAATGACTCCAGGGCCTCCCTGGTGGCACAAGGGGTTAAGACACAACCTATGAAGCTATCTGCAGCCACTGCAGCACGAGTTTGATCCCCAGCCAGGGAGCTACCCACATGGAGCAGCAGACCTCTCCTGTCTCGCCCGCGGCTCCCCTCAGCAGCGTATTTCAGTGGATCTGCCTGTTCTGCTCCCCACTCTGTCTCTGGTGGATCCTCTCACCCACCCCCCCCCATACCTCTGGCTTGTACCAAGTTCTTGTATGCATAAATAAATAAATCTTTTTAAAAAAGTAATGACTCCAAATTAATCACTCTTTTCCAACCAAATATTAATTTTTAATAGGCAAAAAACACTTTGAACCATTAATATTACTATAAAAGTAATTATTACAAAACCCATTTTTGTTCAC